TTCGCTGCACAGCGTGGGCTTCACTTGTTGCTTGCAGATTCACAAGAAGCGTGTGTTTGCCGTTTAGTTTCTTTTTGTTAGTTTTTGTTTTGTTAATATTTCGTTTTATTTTTATTTGTTTGTGTATACAGCATTGATAGTGACGCAGGAGTGTGCGAGAAACACGATGGCTCTGTGCGGCGGCAGTATGCTGCTGTCTGTACACCTGAAATCCATGGGGGTTAAGAGGGTCCTGGCAATCAGCCGCAACAAATGGAGGAGAGCAGATGCAGAAGAACAGAAAAATATAATTTTAAACAGACTAGAAACCCTCGAACAACTCAGAATATACGAACTGCAGCAGGAGCAGCAGCAGCAGCAGCAGCAGCAGCAGGAGCAGCGAGAGCAGCAACAGCAGGAGCAGCAGCAGCAGCAGCTGCAGCAATAGAACTAATGTCAGTATGTGCAGCAGCAGCTACTGCAGCAGCTCAATCAGCGGTAGCAGCAGCAGCAGCAGATTGCTGCAGCAGCAGCAGCAGCAACTGCAGCAGCTCAATCCGCGGTAGCAGCAGCAGCAGCAGATTGCTGCAGCAACTAATTTCTTTTTCTTTGCACAATATTCGAAACGACGAAATCTTTTCAGGTTAGGGTCTAGGGTTTAGAGTTATCTCTTCGGTTTAGGGTTTAGGGTTTAGGGTTTAGGGTTTAGGGTTTATGGCTGAGGTTGTGGGGTTTGAGGGTTTAGTGTTAATACATTCGATTTATTGGTGTTTATTTAGAGATAAAGAAAAACAGAAAAAATGCTGCATGCAAATCACTTGAAACACGAACAGAAAAGATACTCCCGTGCCGCTGCTGCTGCTGCTGCTGCTGCTCCTGTTGCTGCTGCTGCTGCTGCTGCAGCAGCAGCAGCAACAGGAGCGCAGCTGCTGCTGCTGCTGCAGCAGCAGCAGCAGCAGCATTCTGCTGTTCTGGAGGCAGGGCAGGGCAAATTTATATGTAGCGCTACGAGGCGAACTGCCCGCTCTATGCGTGCCCTCGTTTGTCTGCATTGTGCTCGTTCCTAAATATATATATATATATATATATATA